TCATGTACAGGTAGAAGCATCCAATAATAAATGTAAATGTATTGTATACCTAAAATGTACCAATAAAAGAATTTAAGCAAAAAAAAAAAAAAAGTGAATGAATCTGAAGGAAGCATGATCAGAAATAAACCCAATCTTATTCAGTGCCTGATTGTCAAAAAACAGGTCTAATCTATGTAAAATTCAATAATTTGAAGCCTTCTTGTTAAAATACAAATTCTTTTGGGGGCAAGAGATAGAATGATTTTTCTATTTTATTTTTAATTTATCTTACATTTAAATATTATACTATCCATTGATTTTTTTGTCTTTTTAATGTTCAGCTGTAAGAATTTTAAGATATGTGTACATCCAAATAACTACCACATAACTAGATCCCAGATCTCTTCTATATCTTCCCAAAATCCTTCATACCAACCCTTTTTTAGTTCCCTTTTCTACCTATTCATAAACTCTGGCAACTACCAATGTATTTTTTATCTCTATAGTGTATTTTTTCCAGAATGTCATGCAAATAAAACCAAATTGAGCATCTTTCACTCAGCATAAAGCCTCTAAGATTCATTCAAGTTTTTATTGCTGAATTGTATTTCATTGCATGAAGTACTATAACTGTCTATCAATTCATCTTTTAATGGCTATTGAGTTGTCTCCAGATTGGGGCAGTTATGAATAGAGTTGCTATAAGTAGTTGTGGCCACATTTTTAGATATAAGTGGTCATTTTTGTCTAGGATTAAGATCCAATAGTGAGATAATAACTATATGAAAAGCACATGTTTAAGTTTATAATAAACTGATAATTTTCCTGAGTGGTTGTATCAATTTTGCATTTCAACCAGCAACATACGAGAGTTCCAGTTGCTTTCCATCCTCATAAAATCCTAGTGTTGTCAACAATTTTTTAATTGATTTTAATAGATATAGAGATATTTCATCATAGTCTTAATTTATATTTCCCTAATGCCTAATGATATCAAATCTTTCCATGTACTTTCTGCCATCCTTATATTTTCTTTAGTTACTTGTTCATATCTTTTGCCTTTTATTTATTTAATTTTTTTTGTAATATTGGGGATTGAACCCAGAGACTTCACACTGAGCTACATCCCTATCCCTTTCTAATTTTTTGATTTTGAGTCAGAGTCTCACTAAATCACTAAGTTGCCAGGGCTATGTTCAAACTTGGGATCCTCCTGCCTCAGCCTTGCAGAGTGCTAGGATTGAACCCATGTGCCACCATGCCTGGCCTTTATTTGCCAATTTTAAGTTGTTTTCATGTTGAATTTTCAGAGTTCTTCATATATTCTGGATGAGTTTATCATACATGGGATTTGCATATTTTGTTTCCCAGTCTCTGGCTTGTCTTCTCATTCTCTAATGCAAACTTTTAATGATTGTTATTTAAGTTTCACTGAAAGGGATCTAAAAGCTTGTGACTAAAGAGACATATTCCAAAAGAGCAGTTTTTTGACACTTCTCCCTTTGAGTGATCCCTCATGGAAATATCAATTTGGGTGTCAAAATCACATATGTTAACTCCAAAGACATTCTTCAGAAAGTCCCATGCCATTTCTTTCAATTTTTTTTATCGGAAACAGTCCCTACCCGCCCCCCAACATAGACATGCACATTTCCAGTAATACCCTCATCGCTGGACACAGAATCCATTGAAAGAGGTCTAATTAATTCACAAAGCAAAAGTAGTCTCTGGAAATAAAGAGGCACTTAGACCATTTATCCTATTCACAAAACTTAGCACAAGTTTAAAGCCTGAATTGAATCTTTCGAACTTATTGCAGCCACCTTCTAACTCCCAGATGTGCCTTTGGCCATTTTAGGGTATTTATTTTTCATCACATTTTATCTTTTTTTTATTAATTTCACTTGCTATACTCTGGATTCATTTGTATGCTAAATACATTTATTTTATCTCAATCTTAGATTTGCTTCCTTAACACTGTATTATAAATCAAACCAACCAAATTCCAATTCCCAGGTGAAGGATGATTGAGAAGCAATCTCACTGTTAGAATCCGTTTTCTAACCACTGCACCTTACAACTTACTATAATTTCAGGTTCATTTTGCCTAATAGAAAGAATATGCACTTAAATCCTGTGTTGGCTGGTTACTACCTATGTGATTTTGGGAAATTTATTTATCTGAGTCTCAGTCTCCTCACCTATAACATGGAAAGTTTAATGCCCTTATTATGAAATTCCTGACAAAATAAATAAGGTAAAACATATATCATATGGTAAGCACTATTTTGTTTGATTTTTTTTAATTTTTACATTTCCCATATCACCTTCCTGTAAGAATATATTAAAATTTCATCAATCAGAGCATATGTATATAGTCTCTTTTTAACCAATTCAAGCTAATATTTTATCAGATCTATTATTTAAGATGGATCCACATTCTACCAAAGTCAACTCATTTTGCAGTGAATAGCATTAAACTATTATAACAGAAAACGTATTTTCAAACAAGGAATTTAGAGGCTGAGATTTTTAAATGAAGACTCCTTCTGTTCATTCATCTAAAGTCTAAATTGTGTTTGTGTCTCACCTAAAGTCATCTAAAATCACCACAGAAATATTTTACTAAACAAAGGAAATTTTCAAATATTTAAAACAATCCTCCAAATACACAAACATAAGTCAA